CTTAAAATAAGTTTTCAAAAACAGAGAGGAGAAAAGAAATTAAAAATATCCGCAACACTAAACTTTCCACACTTTCACTTCATTTGATTATGATTCGACGTGAAAGGTACTCATCACCGGGTTTGGTTTTGGGGAGACACAAATGGGTGTCTATAATGGCCCATGTTGTACCATCTGCAAGAAATGATGCATGTAACTTCCAGCCACAATGCACATCTAAGCATCTAGCACCATACCTTAAGTTGCTAGCATAGTCCACAATTACAGTAAACCCACATTGGATGCAATAATCTCTAACAACATCCTTGAGATTTTGCTTATTAGTGAACAATTGTCACTCTTTAAGCACAATCTTTCCAAATCCCTCATATTTGTACACTTCACCATTGTTATATAACCTGGACAAGTAATTATCTTCATCCTTCTCACACTCAAAATCAAGATCCTCAAATGGATCATAAATATCTTCAATCTTAGGCACATCATCATCTTTCTCAAATATTTCTTCTTCTTCAACACTCTCATCATCTGTCCTAGGTTCCATGTAATCATCTGGGTTCTATGTGTCATCTGCATCATCACCCTGACCATCCTCATCATTGAGAAAAAGCAAACTTCCATTCTCATTGTCCTCTCCTAAATTAATAGACACTTCTCCCCCTCCCATATTATTCACATCACTTTCCCCTCCACTAGTGCTAGTGCTGATCACAATGCCTCTCCTTATAGCAGTGCTCCTAGGAAATCTTCTCCTGTTATCCCCACCAGCACCCAAATTATTCACATCACTATACCCTCTACTAGTGCTAGGGTTGATCACAATGCCTCTCCTTTTTGCAGTTGTCCTAGGCAGTCTTCTCTGAAAAAAGGCCGAGACTCTAGAAGAGGTAGAAGAGACTAACTCTCCCATATTCTTCAAGGGTGGTATAAGTGTTTGAGATAATGGTTGGGGTTGTGATTTTAGGATTATCAATTCAGTTGGGGCTTGGTACTCATGGACTTGGTTAGTATCAGCTTGGTCACTTTGTTGAGGTTGCCATGGGGTTGGGGTGATGGTGAACCAAGACTCTAGTGGATTAACCCTCCCTCTCCCTCTCCCCCTCCCCCTCCCTCTACCTCTCCCCCTCCCTCTACCTCTCCCTCTCCATCTCCCAGTTTCAATACCAGACAGTGTTTGAATCTGTCTCTCAATCCCAGCTTGTGTTTCATTCTCTCTCTGAAGCTCAGTTTGTGTTTAAATCTCTTTCTCAATCCCATTTTGTGTTTCATTCTCTCTTTGAAGCTCAGTTTGTGTTTGAATCTCTCTATCTCAATCCCAATTTGTGTTTTAATCTCTACCTCAAGCTCATTTTGTGCTTCAATCTCTGTCTGAATCTCATTTCGTGTTTCAATGTCTATCTCAATCTCAGTTTTTGTTTGTGTCCCAATTTCTCCCCGTCCTCTACCAGACCCTCTGCCTCTACCCCTTCCTCTAGAAGTCCCTCTCCCCCTACCCCTTCCTGTCCCTCTACCCCTTCATTTCCCTCTCACCCTGTCTATATCCATCTCTTCATGTAGTCTTTGTTCAAAATCAGGCCAAGTTTCATCTGGATTATAGTTTTGAAACTGAGTTTCAACTACTTGTTTACTACCTAACCCATGAACATGCTTATCAAATTCATCCTTAGACACCACTTCTGCTTCAACCAATTCAGGGACTTTCTTCTTCCTAATGGTCATTTTTTTGCTAGCATAAGCAGTAGCCTTAGACACCACTTTAGCTTGTTCAGGTTCAACAATTGGATTCTTTCTCTTAACAAGTAATCTAGCTGCTGCAACAACCTTAGTGTCCTTAAGACCATCCCCTACCCATATATAAATCTCTTTCTTCTCAGGCAAGTTCACAAACATTTTCATCAAATCATTATCACTCTCAAGACTCACATGTTTCATTTTGTACACCTAGGCAAATGTAGGATTTAGGGGTGTTTCAACATTACTTTCATTTGCTTTTTCCCAATACTCCACAATAAGGTTTATCAAATTCACCTTATCTGTATCATCAACCACAATAGACACATCTACACCCCTATATTGAAACTGAAGTACTATTTTTTCATCCATTCTGCAACAAACACACAAATAAACAAAAAATAATCACTAATCACTACTTGGGTAAGAATAATAACCTTCACAGAAAGCACATCATAGACAACAACTTTTACAACACAATCATGCAATTCCAAGTGTAGGGAATAAATTCAAGCGTTAACCCCTAGCTCGAACCCCACTGTGATCATACACTAAGTACGGTGGCGTCCAAAAGGGAAGAAGATAGAGCAAAAGAGTCGCCAACAAGTTTTAGGAACTTGTAAACCGTTCACAGGGTGAAGGTTACACCCCTTAACGATCCAAGAGATTGTCAACTCCATAAGGTCTTGAACCAAATAAGGGTTCGGGGATGAAGGTACAAATCCAACCTAAAAGAGATTGAACCTGCCCTAATAATAGGCCTCTACTTTATTCTGATCGTATTCATGTGCGCTTTTTGACCAACATGCAATTAATAGGATTACCCCTAAACCTGTTTATCTATGTTGGTTGAATATAATGCACAAACAAAACTATTATTGGCGATCACTTGAATTATAATCATATTAACCCTAAACAAGATTATTAATTATCTTATTAAGCGTAATTACAAGTATAAATTCCCTTTAAACATGCCTAAAAAGGTGTGATCAAGCAATAAAAAAAATATATCAAGCAACATAATAATAATAAAAATAACAATTATGATCATCAAAATAAAATTATAACAATAATCATGTTCATAATCATCAAAACAATAATCATCATCATAATAATAATTATAATAATTATAATCATAATAATCATAATAATAATAATTATAGCAATAAGAAAATTATAATCATAATCAAAACAATTATAAAAATAATCATGAATCATATTAAAGCATAATAATAGCAAGATCCTAGGCATGATACTAACATGATTAATAACAAATCCTAGCATGTCACTAAGCAATAAAAATCAAATCTTTAGCCCTAACATGATACTAACAATCATAAATATTAAGAAGAATATAAAAGGCATCATAACAATCATATTTAATATTAAATTTATCCTAGACATGATACTAGGAATATCATAATAACAATTTAAACATGATTTCTACATCATAACATCAATAAAAACATTATAGTACTTACTTTGATGCCTCGTACCTCTTTCTAATAACAAAATACACACGTTAGTAACTTCAAGGAAAAAAATAATCAAACAATTAAATTAAATAATTGAAAGAGAGATTTGGGACCAAACCCTCAGAAATTAAACCTTTCACGTCTAGGGCGAAGGCAACTTCGAATATGGCTAGGTGCTTCTAGATCTAATGAATGCGGAATTTCGTATGTAAAAACTAAAGAGAAAGTAAGATGGATTAGAGAATGCGAGAATTGATGATTGCGAATGAAAACTGGTTGTAGGTGATTATAATTGAAAACTAGTTGTTGATGAATGAAAACGGAGTTTTTAATATGTTATTTATAGAGAAAATCAGCCAAAAAGATAAAATTAACAAAACAGAGCATTGGCGCACCTAAAACAGAGCTGGCGCCAACGCTAGCTTATTGGCGCCAGACGCCAACATTAGCGCTAGGCGCCAATGTCTGGCGTCAGGTGCTAATCCTGTTTTTGACCGTTTTCTAAAATCAGATAAATTTTGCCGTACAGAGGATAAAATCGTATCTTTTCCTCAAAAATGTTCTTTGATTTTAATTAAAACTCTGAAAAGTCAACAAAAGTCAATTTATCAATGCTAATTGAATTAGGAATGAAAAGAACCTTCTAGAAGAATCTAGAAGACTAAAACCATTCCTAATTGCATTAGGAATGATAAATCATATTAGGCCCTCCCCTAGATCATTGAGCCGTACATAAGGCTCAAACCGGGCCCAGTTTGGTAAATTGGCCATAACTTCCTCAATATTCATCGGAATTGGGCTTATAATATATCGTTGGAAAGCTCTTGTCAAGCCCCATCCAACTACACTACTATTGGACCCATATCACGGACCAACCAAAACTGGATTGGCTGTTTTCCCTAAAATAAGTTTTCAAAAAACAGAGAGAAGAGAAAAGAAATAAAATTGTCCGCAACACTAAACTTTCCACACTTTCGCTTCATTCGATTATGATTCGACGCGAAAGGTAATCATCACTGGGTTTGGTTTTGGGGAGACACATTTGGGTGTCTACACCAAGACATAAATCAGAGACAATATCAACTCCATCAATTTAGATTAACAACAAGCAATATTTCACAATCCAACATTCACACATTGATTATCACAACCCATAAACAGAGCACAATATAATGTGAAGCAAAATTCGACACATACCTGACTTCAACTCTCACTATTAGCAGTGTCAAGTTTCAAAAGATCGAACTTTGTTCACTAACCAACAGTCGTCGACAAATTTCCACCCTAAAACCAATCGCAATTCCTCGCAAATTTTCTCCCAATTTTGAGAAAAAAGTCCTCCAAAATTCACCTCGATTAAACGCTTTAACCTAGACAAATTTCTATACTAAAAAATACCCAAAACCCAGAAATTTCAAGCCCTAAATTTTTCGAAATGAATCCAAGTTGAAGAATTCATCACTCTCTCTCTTCTAATGTTCAAACTGAGTAAATGGAAGAAGATAGATCGATTTAGTTTTGATTAGACAGAAGTGGGTGGAGGGGAAATAAATGGGGGCAATTCTGGAATTTCACTTTTTTTTTAAACAGCCTTAAGCATGGTTAGGGTGAGGATTAAGATTTTACCATTAGCTTAGCATAATAAATTGAGGTTTACCATAGATATTTTAAAAAAAAAAGTAGTGTTTACCACTTAGAAAAGTAATAAGTTAGGGGTCGTTTGGTTGGTAGAAGGGAAAGGGAAACACATTAGGAAAGGGAATGAGAGAGAAAGGAAAGCAAACCCCCCATTTATAATGTGTTGTTTGTTTTATTAAAAAAGAATGGGAATCGAATATGAAGCACCAGCATTCTCCACCACCACCACCACTGTTCTCCACCACACCATTGCAATTGTTAGTCCTCAAGCCTCCAACACTGCCACCCCTCCATCCTCTACTGTTGCATCGCCCGACTCCGACACCCACCGGCCGCCGACCCTCCGTACGGACCCATGCCATCCTTCTCTCTTTTTTTTTCTTTTAATTTTTTTCGTAGATCTGGTAGTTTGTTAGTTTTTAGGGTGTAAAGGGTTGTTTATTTGGGTGTTTGAGGTTGTTTATGGGGTGGTTTGGGTTGTTTATTGAGATGGTTAGGGTTTTTTGGTGGTTTTCATGGTGGTTTTTAGGGTAATAGGCGGCTAACGTGATGGGTTTAAGGTTATTTTCGGGTGGGTTTGGGTGGATTCGAGGAGGGTGGGTATTTTTCCGGGAGGGTTTTGGGTGGTTTTGGTAGGCAAGGGTGGTTTTGGGTGCGGGTGGGTTTTTTTCTTTGGTGGTTTTGGGTGGTTTCGGTGGGGAAGGATGGTGGTCGTGCGGTGGTGAGTGTTTGGGCGATGTTTCCGATGGCTAGGCGGTGCTTCTGGTGGCGGTTGGGAGGTGGTGTTGATGTCTGGGCAATGTTTTTGGTGGTTGAGCGGTGGTGTCGATGGTCAGTTGGTGTTCTCAAGGGTGGTCAAGGTAGTTAGAAATTTGGTCAAGGTAGTTGGTCGAAGAAGAATTTGGGGGTTTGGGTGATTCCCTGGAGGGGGGTGGGGAATGAAGATAGAGGAAAATGGGGTAATGGGAGGGGTAAAGGGAATGATTGATTTTGTCAATCAAACATCAACAAAGGGATTCATGGTAGTTGATTCTCATTCCCTTTGTTGAATACCCCCAACCAAACGGCCCCTTAAGGTTTACTCATTAAATCAACCCAACTCGAGTTCACCAAACCCGACCGGGCGACCACAAGGCGTCAAGGCCTACAAGTCCCGTGCACAGTTTTCTAGTTTTCTACCCAGTCTGCGGCTATCCTTCACCCCTTATTCTCTATAGACCCTCTCTCTCTTTACCTCTTCCCCACCACCAGCACTATCAAATGACTGCTATACCTCCGGCGCCGGCAAGAGCAGAAATCCTGCATCTTTTCCGGTCACTTCTTCGCGTTGCTCGTCAATTTCCCGACTACAATATCAGAGAATACGCTAAACGAAGAACCATTGATGCTTTCCATCACAACAAATCACTCTCTGAACCTTCTTCCATTGCTCAAGCTTTCGCCGACGCCAAGTCTCAGCTCGATGTTGCTAAGCGTCAGGCTGTTGTTTACTCACTTTATGCTCCCAAAGTGAAGAGCATTATGGAGGTCTAGACCCTAATTTTTTAGGTAAATTTTCAAGATTTTTTAGGGTTTTTGTTTTGGGTTATTTTGGATGTTGAAATCATGTTAAGTGGGAAGTAGAATTGATATGATGTAACTGCGTTGATTGTTGTTCAATTGATTTTATATATATTGAATTTGCTTTAATTCTGTTATAGGTTAAATTTGTACCTGTTTTATTTTTTAGGGTTTTGGTTGATTTTGGCTGTTGAATTTGAAAAATATTAGTTTGATTGAATTGAATTAGTTGCTTTGTCTTTGAGTTTAGGGTTACTTTATTTACGAGTTTTTGCTAAATGAATAATTGGAATTAAGTTGGATGAAAGGAATTAGGTTTTAGGAGGAGAAAGAAAAGACAAGGATATAGGCTGGGTTTGTGAGGGTTTCTTTGAGTTTTTATTTTAAGCTCATCGTTTGCCGGTTGTTTGGGAGAACAATTGATTATACTCTTTCGGTCATGTACTTATGTTAAAGGATATATATTGAGTAAGTTGCATTATTTTCTTTATGATTGAATTATTGATATATTGTTTACGAAGTATTTTTTAAAAAGGTTTCTCTGTAGTATGATAAGATACCAAGCGGGTGGCTTGCACTTAAGAGATAGAGAGAGACATGAGGAATTAGGCTAGCATTACTGTTTCTTGGTGAAAAATTGAATTCATCGATTGAGATGGAGGGGTTAGCCTAATATTCTTATAAGTTTCTGAAATCCACAAGCTCTTACACACTATGAACAAAGTGGATATCTTAGATTTGTTTATTTAAGGTGATTTGGGTTTCACCACAGATTAAACTTGAGCTGATATGCTTATATAAGGTCTAGTAAGTCTAGGTAAAAGACACCAAACTCTGTCAAAGCTCAAAATAAAAAAAAAATTAGCTTGAGTAAGTTGAGATTATAACAAGTAAATTTATTATGAAATATGAACTATGAAAACTTATAAAATCTAGTAATTGTACTCGTCATTGAAATCTTGGAAAGATTTTTAGGATACTTGTCATGAGATTGATTTCTTGAAGAGAATGTAAGATCTCCTAGCTTTTAAGATGGAGAGACTCTCGCTTTCATTATTTTATTCTTCAAAATGGCATACTCATTGTCTAAGAGCCTTTGATCAAGGTCCTGCCTAAAAAGGGAAAGATAAGGTCAGATGTATGGAACTTAGATGATTTCGAGCAATTCTTGATTCAAGATAGTCTTTACTCTTTAACTCCTTTAGCCTATTGGCAATGGACAAAATCTGTACATGTAAAGGTGAAAGTTCTTCTATACACACTTTTAAACAATTGTAGATGAGAGATCCTGAATCTTGATAGTAGTTAATTGTAGCTTCAAAGTTTATGCAAGACCATAGATTACAAGAGGTAGATTGATACTTGATACCTGGGATTCTTAGGGGAATTTTTTAGCGTGGAAGAGTTGAGAGTTTCTCTATTCATCGATAGTATTCCAGTTTTGCTTTCTGTTAGCCTACCTAGCACTTGGTTGATTGCTCATTTTACTTAATGTTCTCTCTTTGAAGACTCCTTCCCCATTGACAAGGGCAAGGGGCCTCCATGTCTAGATTGATTGGCAAGACAAGTGTAGCATTATATTTTCTAGTGCAGCATGAAGAATTGATGGATGAAAAATATATGTATTAATGACAAGACTTACATAATTTAATGCAAGGCTTTTAATGAGAAAATCATCGGATGGGGAATGTCTTGGATGTTTTATGGATTTATGTCTGTGTACTTTGTCTCTAGAAGACCAAGTTGTAAAATACTTAGTTTTCATGACTGTGTTTGGAGCCTGGGAGGTTGTTTGATTGTAATTAATAATCAGAATGGCACTGCTATTGTTGTCATACTTTGAGTAGGTCTTTAGCGTTATTTGGGCTGAGGCGTTTAATACTGGTGTACATGTACCCTCCCGTTCCATCTTCTCTTATAGTCTCATGGTTAAGGTAACATGCATGTCCAAAATTGTAGCCACTCTTTTCTTCTGCCATGTTGCCATTTTTGTTGGAAAAACTTCTCCATCTTCCACCTGGTATCATATCTAGTTCGTATATCAGTCCTTGCCTAAAAAGGTATGATTGTTCCACTATCCACTTATCCAGATACCACCATACACCTCTTTTCTTGATCTATTAATTTATTTCTGAAAATCTGTTTGGTGAAGCAACTTTAAGTATACAATGATGTGGCCTCTATTGAAAACTTGGGTTACAGCTAGAGTAAGGAGAGTCATGTTCTACATTTATACTCTCAAACATTGAGAGATGTGCAGTCAATGGTGCCTCTTCTTAGTTTTTGTGTGATATATCTTTTACCATTTGTAAATAGCAGAGCTCATGAGCCTATTCAGCGGTAGTAAGTGTTAGTGACACCATAGTTGAAATAACATGTAGGGGTAGTTCTTGTATGATTTTGTCTTGCCTGAACTAAAAGAGGAAAAGAGAGTTCAGCGGTACTGACATGGAGAGATCACAATATCAGCAAGGTTCTGAAAGTTTGTTTAATCTAAAGAGTAAGACTAGTGATTGTGATGAGGCAGTTAGTCAGATAAGAGCAAATCTACAAGACTACAATATGCTGTTTGTTATATCCTTCTAATGATGTTTCCTTGGTGTTCTTCGATGGGGCCAAGGTGTAGTTAGAAAGATAAGTACAAACAAGCTTCTCTTTTAGTAATTCGAGCCCCAATATGCAACGCAAGAAGCATTATTATGCCTTGCTGTTTTCCAACTTCATTGTATACTCTATTAAATGGATCATTTGGTAATGGAATTTCCTTTAAATCCAAAAAGTCTGCATACTTTATGGGTTGCTAAATATACAGTATATAATACAGTGCCAACTGTTCTGGATGTTTTGGTGGTTAAGATTTGCCGAACCTTAGCCTTAACCAGTTGCAACTAAGGTGATGTACTGATATATGTGTAAACTTTAGCTTATCTAATCCAGCTGATTTAACTTGCTGAATTCGCCTAAGGTTTTATGAACCTATTACTATTGTGTTGGTTCAGGTTTTACCCATTTATAGATGTTTCTCTCTCTGATCTTAAAATAAGCTCAACCTTTGGATACCTCCTTGGGTGATATAGCGGGCAAAGTGCAGAGTCCTACCTCCTACCTCAGATTAGTAGAGATGAATTTGCAAATGGTCCTTTATTAATATAAAAGGAGTAGTACTGGAGGTAAAATACTAAAATTTACACTCTCTTCTCTAGAGAAACTGCAGCACTTGCTTTTTCATGGCTTGCAAGACACAACTTTGACTACTTATCTCTTCAATCATGTATGGATAAAGATTATAAAAAGTTTTCAAGTCACATAACTGTTTTTCCTATGTTTTGGTGAAAATTTATGGTCAAAGCTTTTGAAGTCTGACCTTGAATAAGCAAAGTGTTGCAATTGTCTATGGAGAAATTGTCAAATAACTCCGATAAGTCTCATGTGGATATCCACCCTCGACCACTTGTCACCCTTCCTCACCTACTAAGTATTCTCCTACAGTTGCATGGGCGAAAAATTTAGATTTGTAATCTTGGCTGGCAGTTTTGGAGGCAGTGTTGGGAGTAGGGCATGAAGGGGAGAGAAAGACAGAGGGGGTTGGGTCTTACCTAGGGATGGATAGGGGACGTTGGTGGGGTCCATGGTGACTGGAACTCTGTCATGGATATACTGTTCATGTTATAAGGTGGGAATAGGGATGCCATACGCTCATACGGTTGCTCTCCTGCTTGGTAGTGAGGGTGAGTCCTGTTAGTGGCTTGGCCATTTAATGGTAGTATTATTGTATAAGCACGTAATCAGGGTGCTATAAAGTGACAACATTGATAAATGATTAAAATTATTAGCTCAACGTTGACAGCTTGTGGGGTTATGTTTGTGTACTTCAGGGTTAAATTGAGTCACAGGATATAAAGACCATATGATTTACTAACTATATAGATTATAGAATGTTGTGTATGTTTGTTACAATTTATTGTTTGCTTGTGCTTCCCTTTCACAACCTAAATGGTATGATCTTACTATTTCTCATTGTTTCTTGTCTACTTTGCAGTGTTGATCCTGCTGGGGCTTTGCGGATTTAAGATAAAGATTCGTGAGTTTACAAGTGTATTTTTGAATTTGTTGGTTTCTGGGCTTTATCATTTATTAGAGTTTGCAAACTCTCATATATGCTAAAGCAGAAGTCTTGATATATGTAAACTGGTGGTGAAAGTTGCAAGGTCTATGTTTTTGGATGTGGATTCCATCATTTGTTTGTCACGCATTTCATTATATTTTAGAACTTAGCGCATCAAATATAGGTTTTTGTAGTGGATGTAATCTTCCATGAAACAATCAGAATAAATTATTGTCATCTGCCGTTCTTACTTATTAGTGTTTTATCTAAACGGAGGGTTGATCAGCCTTGTCACATGCTTTTATGTTCACGTCATATACTACTCATAATTGGAATTAGGATTTGTTATCTTACGTTGAAATTCAATTCAATTCAGTTCAGCTCAGCTCCGCTCCTAATTTCCTTCTCTTATGAAATATTCATTTCAATTTAGTTCAGCTCAATTTAATTTAGTTCAATTCAGCTGAATTCAGTCAATGAGAACATGCCCTTAAATGTCAAGGCAACATTTGATACGTATGGGTCTTTGTCTCTTTGATATCATCTGCTTGTGTTGTTGGTATACAACTCAACATCATATATTAATGTTGCCCCTTTTTTTTTTAAGTTTTTAATTTCCTTTTTTTTTTCAAACAAAAAACAAGAAAAATGTGTTTTCACTTTTCTGTTGTCAAGTTTTCAATATTATCATGATTTTAATAAGTTTAAATAATTTTTTATTCATTATGAGACACATATCATATACTTTCAAAAAACAAAAACCATAAAACCACAATAATGTCAAACGTTAATGAATTATGCAGCAATCTGCCAGAACTAAACCACAATAATGTCAAACGTTAATGAATTATGCAGCAATCTGCCAGAACTCTAACCTTTCTATGATCATCTTCTATCATGTAGCAAAGTCATTAATGACAGAAAAATAACATAATGGACACAGAATTATTCCAGAACTCCAGAAGTAGAAGATTATATCAACAAATGAATTAGATTAGAAACCTACACATTACAAACATACTACAGGTGAATCCTTCATAACTTCAATACAAGGCAGCATACATGGTACACAGTACTACGCTACTACAGGATAAGAATTGCAAATTCATAAGATTAATGGATTTGTTTATTGCAGTGACAAAGAAACAATCTGCAGGAGAAAGCCAAACTCATTATGTTATCCAGATATTTTTACACCAGGTTTCTTAGACGAGAAATTTGCTCTGGTTGCAGGTTCTGGGGTAGTGGAAAATGTGAACTCCTCTTGGTTGTCACACTCTTCATTTACCTCATCACTTCTAAATTTTCTCATCTCTTCACTGCTCTGTGAGGACCCTTCACCATCACTTCGCGCCTCCTCTTCATCGTGTGTTCCATTGATAGAATCTTCAATCACATCAACCAGCCGAGAACTACTTCTAGAGTCCCCATCAGTATCATTTAACTTAATCAAGTTCCCATCCTCCACAAAACTAACACGTTTTTTGGCATTCGAGCTTTGAGCATTTTTCTGTACATTAAATTCATTGTTCAACCTATATTTGTTAGCAATTTGTTCAAGGATATCATCATCCTCATCATCAACATGCTTATATCCTTCCTTCTCAGCATCTCCATAGACCTCTTGCTCCTGCTCCTCGAGCGCCTTTGTCATCCTGCCAATCTTTTCAACTCTCTCTTTCAAATTTGCCATTAGTTTCTTTTCCTCATTGTCTACAGTTCGAGTTTTCGAACCCACATTATGCCCCGAAAACCCCTTAGTATCACGACCAGCTCTGCTATCATTCCTCACCAACCTTATGCTCTTCATCTTCCTGGTTAAAACTTGTTGCCTCTTCACACAAACCCCATCAACTATTTCTAAAAATTCAACAATTTCTCTGGTAACTGTCTTCTTACTGTCTCTAATCATCTTATCACCACTCTATAAACAAAACCCAGAATTAAATTTGCAAAATCTCAAAAAATAGAAGAAAATAACAGAATCCAAAAATTCAAAAAAAAAAATCAAAGAACATGTATAAAAAATGCAACAATGTCAAAACCCCATAAATAAAATATGCAAAATCTCACAACCCATAAATTAAAATGCTACATCAAATACCATACATCAAAATGGAAAAATATCAAAAACCCAGAAATCAAAAATGCAAAATCTTACAAGCCCATAAGATAAAAATGCAAAATTTCAAAAACCCATATCACAAAAATCAAATTAAGAATACAAAAAATTGAGATAGATACCTGAATAGAGTCGAGTTTATGGAGCAAATCCATGGCATTTCGGGAAAGAGAATCAAAATCAACAAAAGCATGACGAGAAAGAGAAGATTTAAAAGAAGCAAGAGCAGATTTAACAGAAGCTAAATCTTTAAGGTGACGAAGAGTCCTTGATCTATGAACAAGATAAGCCCTAAAATGGGCTTGAATAATTTTAGCAGCAGCATCTCTTAAGGAAAAACCAGAAGATGAGTATTTCTGAAGGGAAGATTCCAGGGCATCGATGCGTTGAAGGAGAGATAACAGCAAAGAATTATCTTGATTTTCGTGATTATTGTGATGTGGATGTCTTTGATTTTGGTGGGTTCGAGAGGAATTAAGGTGGTAATTTAGAGGGGTTTGAGGTTGAGCTTGAAGAAGCTGAGTAACAATGGCGGCAACCTGAAAAGGATCGGAGGTAGGAGGTGATAATAGTGGTGGATGGTGGCACGGGGGTGTTGGGTGGTGGCACGGGGGTGTTGGTGGTGGGCAGCAGCAGAAGGAATTGGTGGTGGTGTGGAGGTTTTGGAGGTGGTGGTGGAAAGCCATTGGATCTGAGAGGAATTGTTTAGAGAATCTTGTGTGTTTTTTTTGGGGTTTTGTTGTTGTTTGGATGGGTCTTGCACTTTAATGGTGTAAAGGTTTGGGGGTGTTTTAGTAATTAGGACTACTAGTTTGAAATTTTAAAAGTTTGGTGTATTTGTTAGATGTGTTTACCATGTCACCACGTGCATAAACAAAAAAGTTAAATTGATTGGCATCATTTTTTGTTTTCTGTTTCTTGTTTTTTTTAAAACTAAAAACCAAAAACAGAAAATAAGAAAAAAATATTTTTCAATTTTTTGTTGTCAGTTTTTATATTTGTTATGATTCTAATAAGTTTAACTAATTTTTTTTTTTTCATTATGTGACATATATCATATACTTTTATACAACAAAAAACTGAAAACCACAGCAATGCCAAACGAACCCAAATGATTTGATTTGAGTCGGAAATTTGAATGTAGAGAAGGTATTGCGTCAGTCCGTACTGAAGAAATGTTTTGTCAATCCGGACTAACGAAATGCAGATTTTTAATATCCTTAATTGGTGGGATGATATTCTGTACCGAATGAATGATATCCTTTATTAGCTATATGATACCATAGTTAGCCAATAGAGGATATTATACATCCATGATATCATACATCCAATAGAGGATATCATCCAGCCATGATATTATATAACCAATAGAGGATATCATACGGCCAATAAAGGATATCATAAACACAATCATAAATGATATCATATAGCCAATAGAGGATATCATCCAACCGTGATATCATATAGCTAATAGAGGATATCATCCAACCATGATAACCAATAAAGGATATCATCCAACCAATAGAAATATCATCCACCCAATAGAGGATATTCGTACATGTATAAATTATTGGAGGATATAAATTATTTGATGGAAGATATTTATAACTTGTTTGAGGATATGTATAATTTTTTTGATGATATGTATAACAATGGTGGAATCTCCATTGAAAACCTCGTAGTCAAGGTCGTGGATATAACATAACTTGCTCATTTCGCAACCAAAATACATGCATATGTTATGAAAATGCTCACAATTCAACATATAATTATATGGGCAAATTAATTTCAATAATTATACATTACATAAGAAAGCCCCAATTTGATTTTTGGACATTTTTCGAAAAAAATCCAAGAATCTCAAGCAATTAAACTTTCTCTCTCTTCCGTCATGGATGACCTCGCTCCTCTCTTTCGCCGTAACTACCACCAAATTCTCATCGGGTGGAAACTTGTTCTTCATCGCAAGAAGATGACGATGATACCTTCTCGACTAACGAAACATTAGCCGCACCTAAAGATGGGCACAGGCCGTGCCGGCACGGCGACCCACCTGTGGGTCGTGGGCCGTGCCGTGAACTCAAATTGGAGATTCGGCACGATGGCCGGCCTGTGGGTGGGCACGCCGGCACGACACGACACTACACTATTGTACAATTTTTTGTAATATCAAACCTCGTATTCGGTATGATAAATGAAGCTATTCACCAATTATTGTACTATTTTTAATTATCATTAATTATTTGAATTATCGATTTATCGTACCGGCTACCGGCATATAATAAAATAAGTTATTCTTCAATATTTTGTGTTTTCGGCTTATCGCACTCGCAATTTTTTTTATCATTATATACATTGTTGTTTTTTGCTAAATTAATAAAAAAAAATTACTACTCCGGTCCAAATTAATCGCAACTTTGGGGGTATTATTTGTGAGATATAAAATATTCCAAAGTTGCAAGTAATTTGGACCGCAGATAGTATATAAACTTAAACATAATTAGATAAATAATTTATATAACCTTAATTAAAAATAAAGTTTTTCAAAACAAAATATATTAACATTTACATAAACATAAATTAATAACATTATTTATATAAAATTAAGTTGTAATAAATAAATATATATATATATATATATCTTTCTTTTATTTACATTTATTATTTAAAAAAAAAAAAACTGGCACGAGTTGGCCCGCGGCCCGACACGGCCCGCAGGCACGTGGGCTGGGGTGTGCCAAATTTTGGCACGGCACGACACGACCCGCCACGGAGCCGGTACGGCACACCCACCATCGCGGCACGGCCAGACACGGCTCGTTGCCCATCTTTAGTTGCACCCAATACTTTGTGCTAAATGTAAGGGCTTATTTGTTACTTTCTTCAATAAAAGAGGAAAATTGGATAAGTATACATTTCAGGTATGTGGGTCTAGATACATGAGGCTTAAGATCGTGATAATTTGGCATTTTCAATTTCAGTTAAATAAGACAAGGGGAAGGCATTATAGGGAAAATTTTCGTTAATTTTTAACCTATTGAGCAGTAATAATGCAAAGACCAAGCACGGTTTCCAATGCTTTGTTTTTAGTAGGAATTAGGAAATCTTTCCTCTTATTAGCAATACAGTTATCAATACGCATCCACTAAATGTGGCACGAAAGGTCCTTATAAT